AGAAGATCTGAGGTTCATGCAAATATCCAATATTTTGCATAGAACAATGTCTTGTCAGATGGTTCTGATCCAAACAGAATCAGAAAGTTAAAGTTTCTCAAAGTCAGAGATTTCTCTGCCCTCAAGGTGCCAGGAAAAGTCAGAGATGAATCCCACAGATGAAAAGGTATTTCCTACCCTGAATATATGCAAATCCCTACCCAAGCCAACATGTCTGCAGGGTTTGGCTTTCTCCTAAGTATCTTGATTCAAAGGAGGTTATGTTAGTCTCAGTGGTCATGTTTTTCAAAGCATCCTCAGCTCTTAGACCATCTGCAATAGATTCAGCTGGGGGACTTGTAAAGGTAGATCTCTGGGTCCCAGATAAGCCCTGGAGTGATCTTAAAATATGTATTATCTCACAAGGGATTGATTCTAAATACTCTAACATCACATAACCACTGTCCTACAGTTTTCACTTAATGAAAAACATTCTCCCCCCTGGGTGTGTGCCATAAAACCAGACTGTTTACATGCCTAATGTAAAAGATAAAAACATGTTTTCCTTTTTCTATACATTTAAGGCAGCACACTTCTGCAGCCAAATGCAGGTTGATAGAGTGCCCCACATAACAAGTAATTCTCAGCAAACACCAACTGAAGACCTGCATTCAGATATCCCCTATCAATAGGTACAGCCAGCATCCACAGAGTGAGTGCTCACCTACTCAAGATGTCAGTCCTAAACCTCCAATTAAATGTGACTTTCTACCAGACAGAAATCAGGGTTCCATGACCCCTCTTCGGACTCCTTTCATTTGTGGAGTTGGCTCGCAGAACTCAAGGAAGCACTAATGGGTACTTACTTGCTATAAAGTACATCACTAAGGAGCGTAGATGAACATCCTGATGGAAGAGAGGGAAGGTGTGGGAGCTTCCCTGCCACTCTGGGTGCAACAACCTTCAGACACAAATGGTGGCAATCTAGAAGCTTCTCAGACCCTGTCTCTTTGGAGGGCTACAGGGGTTTCATAATGTTGGCATGAAGAATTACATCAACTCAGATTTCAGCCTATTTCCCTTCCCTGGGAAAAAGAGATAGGACTGAAAACAGCTGACCTTTTGTCACACGACTGGTTTCCATGGCAACAATCCAGCATCACTGGGCTATCTAGGACCAACCAAGAGTTATCTGCTAGAATAAAAGATAACCTTATGACCCAATAAATTCCAAGAAAACTTGAAGCTCTATGTCAGGAACTGGGTCAAAGAGGGCAAAGGATTCTCTAAGTGTTGCTGTTTGCAAGGGCTCCAGGAATCTCTCAGCTACCTGGGGCAGAGGTCATGTCATACCCAAGACACCTGCTGACACTTCATCCCTTGCATGTCCGCCTCCTTCTTCATGGCCCATCTCATGGCCACTTGTTTGACATCCATAGGTCCAAAGGAACTTTGTTAGCAACAGTACCAGTTAGGCAAGACAAAGCTTGGACATAAAGGTAACAACTGTGCTGTGCTACAAATGTGGCAGTCTCAGGTGACCCAAGTAGGGTCATCTATCAAACTTCATCCTGAAAGTTTTTAGAGGAAGGTGTCAATTTACACACTCAGGCAGATCTGATAAGCTCCAGTCAACTGCCCCCCCAGGAACATTTCCAAGGATGGGAAGAGACTGAAAGCCAAAGTCACTGACTGTGTGTAGAGCTTTTGGTGGCTGCCTAAACACTACCCACTGTAGGCTCACATTAAGAGTCGGGCTCCCATCCATGTTCACAAACACTGAGTGCAATGGCAGCCAGGTTCTCCAACCTTTATAGAATAGCATGGATTTGTCACTAAGTAAAATAAATATACAATATGATCCCCAGACATTACCTCTGTGTGGTCTTGGGGATGTACAAATAGCAAAAAATAGATTCATAACCATATTCAAAGTTATTGCCTAGTTGGACATGGAGTCACATCCATTTCAATTTCAACTGACGGTGGAGGATCATGAGTTTGAAGCCAGCCTGGTATATATAATGAGATCCTATCTCATAAAGTGAAACAATGCTCCCTGCAAACTGGTGCTTGCTTGTCATTTGTACCCACAAGAGTCTTTGTATTCCAAGGTTACTTTAAGGAAGAACTTGCTATCCAAGGATGGTAGGGGGTCTTGGGTTCCAATTAGGAGGTGCACAGGAAGCAGGTACTGCCATCTAAGAAGGGCAGGGGTCCCAAGTGCCAGTCAAGAGGTATATGGTAAGCAGATATTGCCATCTAAGGAGGCTCACTGTCCTAGATGCCCCAGGTGCCCACTGGGAGGTGCACAATAACTATTAACGTACTTTCTACTATGAAAGCACCTGTCTTGTACAGGTGCAAACAGGAGCCAATCCTTTCCTGCCTGCAGAACAAATGGTAGTTGTGTCAGGACTGGAAGGAGATACGTCATGTCTGAGGTGGAATAAAATAAGAACTTGGTCCTTTTTCAAAAGAACACAGGCAAATCTGGGACTGGTAAAATGGCTCAGTGGGCAAAGGGACTTGCCTCCAAATTTGATGCCCCCCGAGTTTGATCCCTAGGATCACACATGGTAGAAGGAGAGAAACAACTCCCACAAGTTGTCCTTACACACACACACACAGGCAAACTGGGGTGCATGCATGAACACACACACACAGAGAATAAATAAATTTAATTTAAAAATATTTTAAAAGCAAAATTGTGTTATGTTCTGTGTACTGGCTGGGACAAGAATTCCTGAGTATTTTTTGCATGAATATGTCTTCATTGAAATTTTTTATTCCTAATAAAAATGGGAACATGATCTATTTCTTAAAGATTGAGCAGGCTTTCTTTAATGGCTCAGATAAGCTAAGACAGGAAAAATTAAAGCTAAGTATCCAGCAATGGTAAAATTTTTTACTGTCAGAAAAAATATATAAGCCAGTGGGATATGCTGACAGACTATAGCACATACAGAACTAAGGCCTGTAATCTTAGCATTGGAGAAGCTGAGGCAGGAGGACTGCCTCAAGTTTAAGGACAGCCTGGCGAGCAAGGAAGCATGGTTCAAAACATTAGTTAAATGCTGCGTTATTTTCTTGGCCCGGCTGAAGCAGCTGAAAAGAGGGTCATCAAGGCTGGCAGAGTACAGCCTGGGACTGTCTTCCTGGCTGTCTCACTGGATGTACAGTCAGACCTCTGCACCTGTGGGTCCCTCATCCTTAAATTCAACCATCCTCAGGCCAAAAGCATTTAAAACAATATTGCATCTTCATCACACATGAGCTGACATTTTTCTTGTTATCTCATAAACAATACAGGATAGCAACAAGCTCCACATTTACATTGCATTCAGAATTATAAATATTCTAGAGATGAAAGGATTTGGGTAGGTTCTACATAAATAACAAGCCAGTTTATATAGGAAACTGGAGCTGTGTGGGCAGATGCTGGTATTTGTGGGGGTGGGAGGACCTAGAGCCAGTCCCCCTTGGATATAGGAAAAACTATGTTCCATGTGCCCACCAACACACCAACTCCACACCTTAAAACCCACCTTAAGAGTTGAGGGGATAGTTCAGTCAGTAAACTATTTGCTGTGTAAGCCTGACATCCTGATTTCAGATCCCCAGCACCCATGTAAAGATCCAAGTGCCACGGCATGCTCCTATCACCTCGGGAAGACTTGCTGGCTTGCCTGCCTGTCCTAATGGGAAAGCTCCCAGGTTCAGGAGGAGGAGGCCTTGACTCAAAAATTAAGGTGGGAAGTAACTGAGGACATCCATTACAACCCTGACTTTCACAGCATAGATGCACACACACACACACACACACACACACACACACACACACACCCTAGATGCAAATGCCTGGAAATGCATGAGAAGTAGTGATTTTCCATTCTTGCCATGCCGAGGTGCTTTAAACACTACTAGTCCATGGTTCACCCTAGGCTAAACTGGAAACTCCAGCTACAAGGCTAGGAGTGTAAGGCTCTCAGGGAAATTCTCATATGCAGCCAGGGTTTCGACCATACCTGTGCAAGGATGCTCAGGAAGGCTTTCTCCGGAACAAGGGAAGCCCTTACAAGAGCCTAAATGCCCTTCATGGGACAGATGAAACAAACAGTGCTTTATTTAGGAAGGGCAGCCACATGGCTGTAAAGATGGAAACGTCCTTTCTAAAGCTCTGTGGGCTTGGCATCTCCCTCATCTCACAGTGCCTCTCTGCATTCTCTACTCCAGTCAACTGGATTCTTCTGTTTGAGCTCCATAAGAATCCTCCTGCTTTGTGACCTTGGCACTTTCTGTCCCCAATGCCTGGAGCAATCTTCCTCTTTTTATCCACACAGCTTGCTCCCATTTCTCCCTCAAGTGCTTGTCCTGAGACCAACTCCCAGTCGATACTGAATACAACATGATCCCATTGAATACACACAAGTATACATGCTCACACACACAAGTGTTCACATAGATTCTCACACACTCACATACTCTCTCACATTCTCACATGTTCCCAAGGCACTCCATACACACTCTGAACACACACACACTCTGCACACACATACTCCACACATACACACTGCACACACACACCTGAACATTCATGGATTTAAATGCAGAGGAAAATGCCCAGAGGATATATACAAGGCAACACAGAGAACTAAAAGTCATCATGGAAGAGAACGAGGCACTGAGCTGCTTACTGAATGTAATTCCACCTGTATCATTCAAGTTTGCTGCACAGTCCACACATAAAATTAAGTATATTTTTCATGTGAAAAAAAAGGTAATTTTCAAAAGGAAGCCAGTGCTCAGAGTCAAAAGCACAAAAGCCTGCTAGCCCCCTTCAGCATTCTTTAGTCAGTGTTAGTTCACCAATTAAGACCAGTGCTAACTCGATTCGGCATCCTCTAGTGAGGGTTACTTCATCAAATAAGACCAGTGCGCCCTGAAAGGCTCATCCCAGAAGTTCAGCCCATTGTCTTTCTCTCTCTCACACTCTCTCTCCTTCTCTCTGTACCACATAGCTCCTGAAGAGCCAGCAATCAACTGGGAGCATGGAGGACGTCCTCATCCACACCCCTCCAGGAAGTTTCTGAGGAATGGATCCTTGATTTTAGACTGTGAGGTCTTTTCCTCCAGGACTCACCAGAGGCAGGTCCCTGGCAAATGAACACCAGACTGGAGTGCAGGAAATCACAGTGGCACAGACATGCCACCAATGTTACTGACTGATGAAAATGGTGTCTCCAAGTCTCAGTCCGCCAATCTCTTTGCATCCATTCCTCTTCTGTGGGGACGAACTCCCGAAACCTCACTACTTTTGGGGTGGGGTCTGGACTAGAGGGGAGCATGTGGTTTCCAAGAAGAGCAATTAATGCTGGTGTTTACAATTGAGTACAAACTTCATAGCATGTTTAAAGTTGTCTAGCAATTTGAATCTGTAGATCTATTTTTCCCATGTTGTAGGTTCTCCACATCTCCTTCAGCAACCCCAGAGTTCTCGCAGACTTTCTATAGTCCCACTTTTAATTTTTCCCAATAGTTCCTCTTCTACTGGTATCTGTACTGGTATCTGCGTTGATCACTTGGAGCCTGAGAATGAACCCGGATCCTAGGCATATGTGCGCCCCCTCTCCATGCCAAGTGTGGGAGTAAACTGGCTATTTTACGGAATGTGGCTTTCTTTCGTGCCAATTTCTTTTAGCAAATTTTGGGCAAGAGCTTTGATTTTCCTGGCTGCTACCTGGAAGAGTCACACCTTGCTTTTTTTTCCTGTTTGACATCAGCTGTTAAGGTGTGAATGCCCTGGCTTCATGATGCCATCACCCCACCTGCCAGAGCATGCTACCGCAGAGATTTTGCAGTGCGCAGAGCATGTGCCACGGGTAGCACACAAGACGATGTCTAAGTAATTTGTAAATTCGACAGTAAATAACACTGAACTTTGAAAAATGCTTCATGCTTTGTCTTTCTCACTCCTGGCTGCTGCAAGGAGAATGCCTCTCTTGGATACCAGTATAGTCAGTATAGTCATTGCCCAACACAGCAAAGAAGCAGCAGCCTTCATGTCCAGTCCTGTTTAGACAGTTCAGTGATACTGCTAGCTTCCACTCGTGGTTCTCCACGGTCTGATGCTCTGTGTTGCTTGAGTAAGTGGACTCAGAGGTCAATATCAAGTGGTTAACCTAACAGGTAATATTTATGGCAAAAAATTCATCTCCAGAATTAATGTCAGAAACACAATGACAATGAATTTACTTGAATAAAGAAAAGATTACCTGTTCTAATTGAATGCGCAAGTGATTAAGAGTTCAAATACCTGTTTCAATACCTTTTTGGGGGGATGATTTTTTTCTGGGTGGGGGAGTCCCAGGCAACCCAGGTTGGCCTTGAATTACTATGTAACCAAAGATGACCTTGAAAGTGATCCCTCTGTCTCTGCATCCAGAATGCTAGAATCACAGGCTTCTTTGGCCATGCACAGCCACTCTGCATTTATTTATTCGACACTAGCTATGCAAGTTGATTTTAGGCAAGTTTCTTCTTCTGAAGAATGGAGATAAGAACAGCTACCTCTTTACCTCATACTGTTATGAAAATTAATTGCTATGATAAACGTGCCCCTGGGGGGAAACGCTATGCATTAAACAAATATGAAGCATGATGATTGTGGATCTAAGGCTTTTATGGAAACACTGGGCCCTAGCAACAAAAAGAAAACTTGATGGACACAAGAATCTACATGGCATTTCACCCAGGTGTGTCATGGGCCAGTCCTTGTCCCAGGAGGAGACTGACTCTGGGACTGGAATTCTCAGTGTCCATAGATGCCAGGGCCAATCTAGCCTAGTAGATCCTGTTTCTCATATCTTGTTGTTTGTGTATGTTTGGGTCCCTGGTCTTTTGCCCACTGGAAAGTGTTGCTGAGAGAGCATAATAAAAATGGCTTTAAGTAAGCCCATTTACCATGCTATATGAGCCTGTTTTTCTTGCTGTGTTTACCTTCTAGAAACTTCCATAATCAAAATGTGCTCATCCACCAGTCTTCTTCCACAGAGATGACCATAGAAAGGGAAGAGGTGGGGCTAGAGAGGCTCCCATTACTAAACTAACTTTACTAAATGACCTATGAGGCATTTAAAATGTTAGTTCAGCTAAGTCAAAATAAGATTAAACACTTGTCAGTGGGGTCTACAGGGCTAAGAGAGGCTCTTGAGTTTTGCAGCCCTGGCACTGGATTCAACACCGTGGGATACTTCTCTTCCTTAAAGCGTTTTATAAAATCTGGATTGTCCCTCTTCCCCAAGGTTAATCTCCACTGTCAGCCTGATGGGATCTATAGCTGCCAACAAGAAAACCCTGGGGCAAGACTGTGAGGGATTATCTCCATTAGGTTAACTGAGATAGGAGCCACCATTCCTCAGGAGAAGGGAGCTGAGCCCTAGCCCCTCTTCTTCCCCCTACTTCCCGAGGAAGGAATGTAACCAGCTCTCCCTCCTCTTGATGCTGTGACTTCCTTACCCATGAGGGACTGTACCCTCTAACTGTGAGCCAAGAACAAACCCATTCTCTCTTAAGCCCCCTTTGTTAGGGAATTTCATCACAGCAACAGGAAAAGGAACCGGGATATCCCTGCTCCCAGTACATCAGCCAAGGGGATCTTTCCATCAGCCAATGATACGAACAGGCTGAAGTAAAAAGTGGGTTTACTGTTTGTGTAACAGAGAAACTCCAAGCAGAATGCTGAGATAATGGTGTCCTGTGTTGTCAGAAACATTCCCCAAAATTTCTCAGCCCCAACTTGTTGTGTTTGCTATAGGTTCATAATGATGAGCTTGCTGCCAATGGCTTTGGACTTTTCCCTACTGTCTTAGCAACACCCATGGAACTAAAGCATTTTCTTCCATAATTACTGGGTGAGAGGAGAACTGATTGTTCAAGATAATGTACAACTGGCCAGAAATAGAAAAAAAAGTACATGGGGTATCCAACTGTCATTAAGCAGGTGTGACCAACACAAATTGCTGCTGCAGCCAGGAGTGTGTAAGCCTCTCTCTCCCCTTCCCCCACCTTTGACCCAATGGAGCTGAGTGTGAGGTTAGCACCCCACAATCTTCACAGATGGAGGGGGTGAGGAAGGTGACTCCCCAGAGAAAAACCAGAGAGCTTTTACCAGAAGGGGAGCCAGACGCTGGGCAGGAGAACTCAAACACGGTCCACATCGGGCCTTCTGTTCTAACTACACCTTCCAAGAGCTGGAGAAGAGTCATCTAACAGCTTTCAAAGCCATTTCCCAAATGCGTTGAGACTCTCATCTCATGCAGTCAGCATTCACTGGGCACTCGCACAAGCACAGAGACTGGACTCAGCTTTGAAATTCAAATCCCACTAAGGGAGACCCCAGGAAGTCTGCTCACCACCTGATGGAGGCAGAGGCAAAAGGAAGGAAGGAAGCTGTGAGGGGTACACACAAGGCCCTCTGCAGATGGGAGGGTCACCCCTGAAGGTTCAGGGGGCACAGCTCCCACTGCTCTGTGCATGGCCCAGGCTGAAGTATTGAAGCAACCCTGTCCCTGCCCACAAGTTATGGGCAGAAGCAGATGCAGACATAAAAATCGCTGGCCTCAGCTCCTGGATCAGCAAATTGGCTCTGGCAAATGGCAGGACAGCTGCAATCAGCAAAACAGCTCCCTGCACGTATCTTGATATGTAACCCTAGACCCAGGCTTCTAAATATAAGCGCTGGTTTAGGCTACCAACTACTTCCCCGATCAAAAATAGCATCCATATTCATGGTTTACTACCAATCCTGAAAAAACAAAATACATATTACTGTTATTATTAACCCCTGGAGTTACCCTAAAAGTAGATGTCTAAATCCAGACATTTAATTCCTGTTCTACTGAACACAGAATTATAGATGCCATTCAAGTGCTACTTAACATCACAGAGAAGGCAGACAGAGGGAATCCCCCTCCTGAAGCCTGATCGTCCCTTACCAGAGGTGAAGCAGCTGTGGATAAGGAGAAGGAAGCAGCTTCCAGCCTAGTTTTTAGAAGCGTCTGAGTTTGAACTCTTTACCTATTTCCGAAGCTCAGATGAGTACCATCTCAAACTGACAGTGGCTGGGCCACAATGTTCTCCCCATGTATAGGTGGTTCCCATTCCACACACACACAAAACAGGCCACAGATGAACCCCAGCAATTCTGCTTTTCCCAAGAAGGCTGCTCCTCCAAGAGTTCACTCCTGGGAAGGGGGTGGGAGTGGGGGCAGGGGTAGTGGTGACTGACACAGAATTCATGGAATTAAGAACTAGAAGGGTAACAAATGGCCTGGTGAGCAGCATGAAAGAGGTCCTCACACAAATCAGCACACATAAAAGAGAAGGTAAATAAAGATTCTGATGTCCATCAGAATAATTCATTTCTTATGGTGCCACAAATATTCCAAACTATGGCAGAGTGTGGAGGCATGTGCCTTTAATCCCAGCACTCAGGAAGCCAACATGGGCAGATCTGAGTTCCAGGACAGCCAGGGCTACATAGTGAGACCCTATCTTAAATATAAATAAATACATAAACAAACCCCCAAGCTTTGGTGGCTGATCTTCACTGACATTTACAATCACCCAGGCCTTTCAGTGTGTCTGAGAGAGTATTCCCATGTTCACCGAGATGATGAACTGACAGGAATATGCTCACCTGAGTGTAGGTGACATTATCCAGCTGGGTCCCTTCTCCCATTCCCTCATCAGCCATGAAGTAAACAGCTCCCTATGCCATGTGTTCCCATCATCATAATGCTGTGCCCAAGTCCCCAAAGCCAAACAATCATGGCTTGAACTCTTCAAACCACCAGCCAAAATGAATTCTACCTCCTTTCAGTGGTTTCTATCTGGTACTTTTGCCACAGTAACAAGAAAACTACCCAAAAGGTCCATCAAAGCAATACCCTACCATGCTGGTACCAACTTCTAGGTATGGTTACTATCACTATAATGAAACACCATGACCAAAAGCAAACTGGGGAGTAAAGGGTTTATTTGGCTTACATTTCTACATTGCTATTCATCACAGAGAGAAGTCAGGGCAGGAACTCAAGCCAGGCAGGAACCTGGAGGCAGGAGCTGATGCAGAGGCCATGGAGGGTGCTGCTCACTGGCTTGTTCCCTGTGGCTTGCTCAGCCTGCTTTCTTATAGAATCCAGGCACCACCCACATGAGCTGGGTCCTCTCCCATCAATCGCTAATTAAGAAATGCTATACAGACTTTCCTACAGCCCAATTTTATGGAGGCATTTTCTCAATTAGGGTTCTGTGTAGTTTGGATGTAATTGGCTCCCATAAGCTCACAGGAGTGGCACTACTAGGACATGCGGCTTTGTTGGAGTAGGTGTGGCCTATTGGAGGAAGTGTGTCACTGTGGGGGGTGGGTTTTGAGGTCTCCTTTGCTCAAGCTTCATTCAGTGTGACACGCAGATCACTTCCTATTGCCTTCATATCAAGATGTAGCCAGCCACCATATCTGCCTGCATGTCCCAGCACGATGATAATGAACTAAACCTGACAACTGAATGCCATCCAATTAAATGGTTTCCTTTATAAAAATTGCCATGGTCATAGCGTCTCTTCACCCTAAGACAGGTTCCCTCCTCTCAGCTTGGGTCAAGCTGATGTAAAATTAGCAAGTATACCAGTTGGAGAGAACCAACTCTTGAAAGGTATGTTATGGCCACCATATGAGCTACAGTACACAACATACATACGCATGCACAAATGCACATATGTTAATAACATATAAATACAGAAAATTCTAGATACACTTTATGTAATTTTCATTTGGTGCCAGCTTTCTCAGGTATATTATAAGCTCTCTGGAGGTAGGGACCATGCTCAGTGTGTTCGCCTCTGATTCCTAGATGACTCAGGAGTTGGCACAAAGATTTTCCATGAACATTGGATGGATGGATGGATGGATGGATGGATGGATGGATGGATGGATGGATGGATGGATGATGGGTGGATGGATGGACGATGGATGGATGGATGATGAGTGGATGGATGATAAGTGGATGGATGGATGGATGAGTGAGTGAAGGGGAGATAGAAGAAAATGTAATCAAATGCTTCTATACCATCTTGCCATTGTTAACCTAAATTTTAAGCCAAGATAAAGCTAAATCAAAGTATTAGCTGAAAAGCCTGTATCAAAACACACTCATCTTTTCTTTATCACTTATCCTGATGATGCAGCAGAGGAGGAAAGGAAAATGCATCCATACAGAAG